CCTTAGACTTTCCAAACTTGACTAGAAAAAGCAGGTCCATTAAGAACATTTGATTACTTCTGAGACTTTAACTAATACTTTCAACAGGCTGAGTTGAGCATTTCATAATATTGCAATTTGTTATTGTTAGTTGCGAAGTCGTGTCCGACCTATCGCGACCCCATGGACAATGTTCCTCCAGGCCTTCCTGTCCTCTACCATCCTCTGGAGTCCATTTAAGTTCACACCTACTGCTTCAGTGACTCCATCCAGCCACCTTATTCTCTGCCGTTCCCTTTTTCTTTTGCCCTCAATCTTTCCCACATTAGGCTCTTCTCCAGTGAGTTCTTCCTTTTTGCATAGATTGTGGCAATTGCATAGCTTGTGGCAATAACCTTCCAGATTCTATGGCTAGAATCTATGGCACATCCTGAGATTATAACCCATTCAAGATATTCAACAGTCCTTATATTATTTCAAGATGCTTGTCAAAGGAAAGACTTTTAGTCAAGCAATTATTGTGGCATAATCAGGGTGCAGATGATCATTTCATTTTGGAAGTGATGTAGGCTTCCTTGTACCATTCAACACTATATGGGTCTACTTGCTTTATGGAAGCGCCTTGAATTCAAAGTGAGAAAGCATCACTTAACCTTACCAAAGTTAATGTTCTCGAGAGCCAGGTTTAAATTATGACTCATACTGTTTGGCAATAATGCAAGGTATCATTTTGAAAACAGCAGGTTGGGAAAGACTGGTTTGATAAGAAATAAATGACATGATTCTGCAACTGACTGTTCTATTTTAGCCTCACTGGAAAAGTAGAAAGATCTAGTGGATTCTCAAAGTAGAAAGATATGGGCAGGATGATGCCATCTGTGGGTTTTGGATTTAATGGTTCAGCTGTGGCTACTTCGTAGGGCAAATTTCAGTATCCAATATAACCATATAGAGCAGGGGTGTCAAACTCGCATCGTCACGGTGGCATCATGTGACGGGACTTTTTTGCATTTTGCTAAACCGGGCATGGGCGGGGTCAGCACATGACACATCCAGCCCATGGGCAGTGAGTTTGACACCCCTGATAATAAAGAAATATAAGGATCAAGCAGCCATCACCTAATTTGGAATTCAAAATCAACACCTGAGCCGTTGGCAGGACTTACTTGGTTGATATTACTTGCTATAGCATTACTTTCACAGACAACAGAACATATTAGGTCACAAGGATGATTTTTTAAAAAACATTTTAATGTACAACTATGTTTTTCTAAAACTACATGGTGCATACTGTGAGAGATCATTTAGTCTAAGGTCTGAATTTACCTTGGTGCTCTGCAGTTTGGATTGTAGCTCCCAAGAAACTCTTCTCCTGAAGCCACATTGCTTGATGAGGGTGACGAGAGTTGAAATGTACAGTATCTAGCAGGCTTCAGCCAAAAGACGTCAATAGCATTTAATATTTTGGTTTGATTGATGAGTTGCTCTGGAAGTCATAAAATAAACTGAATGGGGGGATCTTGGCTTTGTTGATAGCCCATCCGTCTTTCCTCTGTGAGCCAGTTCCCTTCAGATCACACGTGGGATATGAGATCTGTGTCAAGTATGTGAGACGTTTTGATACAGTTTGCTATCTTAGTCTCATGGCAGAAAGTCTTCTATTTTTATTATTCCTCTGGATGCAATAATTGCTGATGGAAAAGCAATTGAAATATTTTCAAAAATTTTTAACAGATGAGGTAGGGTTTCTGGCACTTTGCTTCATTATGATGGGAGTTATATATGTATATGTAAGACTATCTAGTACAGTGTTTCTGAAACTTGGCAGGTTGAAAATGCGTGGACTTTAACTCCCAGTATTCTCCAACCACATGGTTGGCCACAGGGAATTCTGGGAGTTGAAGTCTAAATATCTTCAATATCTAAATATTGTCAAGTTTGAGAAACACTGGTGTAGTCACTATTTCATCACCAGTTTGCAGTCTGATGTTCATATTCCAATTTGTCCCAAAGGAAAGTATCGTAATGAAACACTTTGTCTGATGTAAAATTTTCAGATCAAGAAGCAAGGCGAACCAGAGAGGCTGTAGAATGATGGGAGCTTTATTATTATCATCATTATTTTTAAACTACTGTATGCTGCCTTTCTGAGCAAAGCTATCCCTCCTGGTAGCTTGCAGCATCTTAAAGTTACAATTCAAGTATTAAGTTTTCATTGAAAACCTGTAACTGAAATATACTTCTGTAGCCAAATGAAGTTAATTCAATTCTTTGGGAGAAAAAATTAAAATATATTCACACACTCCTCCTGAACATAAAATAGTGCCATTAGCCACTTTGCAACATCATAGTAAACTCATAAATACCGTACTTAAAGGTACAGAAACAGGCTTTTTCAAAAAAGGAAGACAGTATTTAAAATATTAGATAACATAATCTTAGCTGCTCACCATGATGCAGGAACAAATGGAATTTAAATAGGAGTAGGACACATCTCTAGAGGGATGCAGTGGCTCAGCGGCTAAGACGCTGAGCTTGTCGATCAAAAGGTTGGCAGTTCAGCGGTTCGAATTCCTAGTGCTGCATAACGGGGTGAGCTCCCATTACTTGTCCCAGCTTCTGCCAACTTAGCAGTTTGAAAGCACATAAAAAATGCAAGTAGAAAAATAGGGACCACCTTTGGTGGGAAGGTAACAGCGTTCCGTGTGCCTTTAGCATTTAGTCATGCTGGCCACATGACCACGGAGACGTCTTCGGACAGCGCTGGCTCTTCGGCTTTGAAACGGAGATGAGCACCGCCCCCTAGAGTCGGGAACGACTAGCACATTACCTTTACCTAGGACACATCTCTAAATGTGTATTTCCACTAGGAGAGATGAGTATTCAGAAACTTTGATTGGATCTTGCAATGATGAATTTAGAGAGTTGAGCAACTCTTTGGAGAAAACAGTCCTGTTCATTTCCAGTGTGAGTACTTATCCAGACCTATTTAAATCTAAATCGAATCAAGTCCATTAAACTTTTAATCTTATCAAGTTTAAGAATTATTCTAACCTCAAGGAGCTGATTATGTAGTTTATCAATGAATTTGTAATTGAATGATATCAAGACCTTCTGTTTTTTAATTGTTACTATCAGGGAATTGCAGGATAGAAAGCTTTTTAACACCATTGTAATTATTATGGAGGTATCTGACCTTGTCCGAGATTAGAAATTAAGTAGCGTGGTTGTTTTTTATCTGTACTTGAATGGAAGATCATCAAAATGTCAGGGCTGTAGACAGTACTGGAACAAAAACAAAATACTGGGAAAAGGCAATGGCCAATCAATTATATACTGATGTGAAGGCAACTGCTTTGAGGTTCCATTAAATCGCCATCAAATTCAATTCAGAAGACAAATTGTTTTTCCATGCAAAAAAATATATATCTAGCATTCAAAAGTCATATTTAATAAGACTTAGAATTGGAAGAATGAATGACAGAAGTGAGATGGACAAATATTCTATCTTAATGTAAAGCAGCATTTATAGCTTTCTGGTTTTTTGAGAGCTACATGTTTGAAATTAGAACATGGATCCAGAAAATCTGCCACAGAGCTTGTTGAGAGTGAATCTGAATCTGGATTTTCTTTGCCACTGATTCTGGGGGACAGTTGAGCTGCACTGTTTTGGAGTAGTCAAGTTTCTGCTCCGCATCCTGCCATACTTGAAAAGACTGAGTCCTTTGATGGTTAGGGACATTTTGCCAGTTGCTTGCTAGAATGTCCATATGATAAGAATATCATGAGGCCTGCAGCGAGAATTGTATTTGCACAAAATTGGAAAGCAGAAAAAAACCCTACAGAGCAGGGATGGGTTCTACTTACCTTTACTACTGGTTTGCAACGGGATCGTGCATGCGCAGAACGTTGATGATGACATCCGGGCGGTGGGCGGGGTCTCCTGCCGGTTTTACTACCAGTTCTTATGAGCCGGTCTGAAACGGGGGCAACCCACCACTGCTACAGAGAGACAGATAATTTAGAAAATATTAGAATGTGCAGAAATGAATAGATTAACATTGGTAATTAAAGGGAAGAAAGAATCGGAGTATTATAATATATGGGGGCAATTTTATCATAGGATGGAAAGTGAATATGGACAAAAAGTGGTATAAAATTAAATAAATTTGGAAGGAAAATGTTTTAACAGGAGATATAATAAATTGAAATGTAAAAGTAAAGATATGTACATGTTAAGAAAGTGGTGGTAAGTGTTAAATATGATGACACAAAGGATTTGTACCCAGATGACGCACTGATAGATCAATGATGTAATGTTTGTTATGAAGAGAAAAAATAAAAAACTTTTTATTAAAAAAATATCATGAGGCCTCTGGGGTTCAAATGGGTCGCTTTGTTGTAAAATGTGCCTTTTAAAAACTATTAGAAAATGGAAGAGACCTATGTCATCCATTTTAGTTTATGGCCACATCTGTCTTTGGACCAGATCAGATTCATTTTTCTGTTGACTTTTAATGAGAGACACACAGAGTGAGAGAATGTGCAGAAATGAACAGACTAACATTAACAATTAAGGAGAAAGAACAAACTGAATATTATGTGATATTGGACATATTTTATGAATGGCTGGAGAATAAAAAAGGAGTTTGGAAATGAAGAAGATTAAAGAGAAAGTAAAAATATATTAAGATAAAGATGTAAATAAAAAGGAAATTGTTAGTATATATATATTTAATGAGAATATGGATGTTTAATGTTAAAATGTATTATTATAAGATATTAAGAAGAAAATTGAGAGTTTTATAATGTTTAAATGTATAATATATTTATTAAGCTTAGTGAAATAATGTTATGTGAATGCGAATGCGAATGAGATAGATAATGGTGAATAATGTTGCACAGAGATGTTTGTAACCAGACAACACACTGCAAGATGGACAGATGGAATGTTTAAGTTTGTAATTGAAAAATAAAAAACTTTTTATATGAAATAAATCAATTCATTTTCTCTTCTGAAGGTCAGAGTGGTATGCTTGTCCTCTGAGGACCAGGAACTGGAGATCAGTTTTATTACTAAGCCCAGTCTTTGTCTTTGGAATTGAAGCTGGCCTCTCACCATGTCAAGTGAAGCAGAAACAGTCAGTGTCAACAGTCAACAGCCAACTGCCCAGCAGCAAACACCACTCAAACCACAGCCTTCCAAAAAAGAGAAAAAGAAAGGTAAGGTGTAAAAGTGAATCAGAAGGAAGATCATTTCTGAAACCACCTGGAAAAGACTTGAGGAAACAGCCTGGTACAGATCAAAATAGGGTGGAGAACCTGGTTTCAGTCCAATTTGAATCAGACCGCACTCATAATTTGGTGCTTGGGATTGTCCAAATGATGGGACATATACTTCTCTGATGAATAAAATGCATGAAGGTATCTGTGAGTAAATAGCAACTGGGAAAGCAGATAGTAGGAGGAATCGTTTGCAGGGGATGCTTGTAGGAGAGGAACATATGTGAAAGTTACAAGAAAGTTCATGCAACATGTATCTTAAGCATTTGCAAACAGATGCAAGAACAGAAAATGTACTCTGGAAAACACAAAGATAAAATGAATAGATTTGGTGGATCCAGTGGTCCAGTTTGAAGCAAATCTTGAACATGATGCTTATGAATCTTTAACATATTTTATAGGGTACACAAATATACACCAGTCTCTTAAATATCCATCTATCCTTTTTACTTTGTTATTACAAATTGAAAACAAGCTACAGTAGTGGCCAAAATTGTGGAAACCTTTTGGGAAAGGTGTATTTTTGAGGTTTGATGGCTAATAACACCACTTTTTTTTTTTTTTTTGGAGTTTCAAGATAATCATATTTCACTGCTGGAATGGCCTGGGAATAACCCAGACCTTAACCCAATTGAAAATCTATGGAGCTGACTAAAGAAACTTGTTAGTCAGAAGCGGCCCAGCAATAAAACCCAGTTAATAGAAGCAATCATTCAATCTTGGTTTCACATTATAACAGCTGCAGAACTAAAAGACTTAGTTCACCCTATGGGAAGACGTAGTAAGACCATAATTCATGCTAAAGGTTACCCAACTAAGTATTAAATGACGTAACATTTTTTGTATATTGCATTTTTTTCTATGGTGATAATTTCTGTATATCTCGTTTTTTCGACATGTTTCACTTTCTTCTTTATACTGTAACTGCTATTTTAATAGCAAATTCTCCATAAAAGTTATTGCATTACATTCTTGATTAAATTATATTTCCATTGATATATAATTTTATGGTACTACTCCCCAAAAAAAAGTGGTGTTATTAACTAGTTTTAGAAAATACACTTTCCCCAAAAGGGTTCCACAATTTTGGCTACTACTGTAATTGGAATCTTGCATTAGACTGCCATCTTATGGTCTTGACGTACATAGCAGAATTCTTTGACTTTAAAAAGCGGTCAGCCAATCTTTGCTCTTCCAACTTTTATGTGTATGTAACCTTCTATTCAGAGAACTGACCCTTTGTGCTCCTCTATACGCAATTATAGCTCAAGTATATTTATGGCTAGTGCAACACGAAAGAATTACTAACACGCTGAATGTCTGCTCATTGCATCCAGAAGAAGAGCGAATAATTTATTAACTACAGTACACCGATGAGGGTCGCTGGCGGTTATAAATTGCATACTGTACTCTGTTATCTGTAGCCACAGCAAGAGTTCAGATGGGCTTACATGAATTAAACTGGCTTTTCAGGATTGGAAAAGACAGAGGAATTCCTTTTGGCCAGATTTCAAGGTGATGGGGTAAAGTACAAGGCCAAATTGATCGGTATTGATGATGTTCCAGAAGCAAGAGGAGACAAAATGAGCCAAGATTCAATGATGAAATTAAAGGTAGGTTTGAGACATTCCTTGCAAGTTTAAGTCTTATTAAACCTATAGATAATGTCATATCATGTACATAGATATGGCTTTTTGTCTAAGACAGGGGTCTGCAACCTTAAATATTCAAAGAGCCATTTGGACCCGTTTCCCGCAGAAAAGAAAACAACGGGAGCCACAAAACCTGGGTGGGCGTGGCCAACTCTATGTCACTAACTTCCACCAGTCACATGATCCCCTAGCCACACCTACCCAGCCAGTCATTAGGGCAGAGAACCAGTTGTTAAAAAACACTGGGAACCACAAAATCCTGTTGACATATCTCTCTCTCCCCTCCCTTCCTCTCTCCCCCTCTCTCCCTCTCTCTCTGTATCTCTCTGTCTCTGCCCTGGCTGCTTCTTCATCCCCCACCGTCGCCCTTACCATCTCAGGCCAGGTGACGAGTGACTGGGAGGGGAGGGCAAGGGGGCGGGGCCAGCCAGTGGTGGGATCACCCGACAGGGAGCCACAGCAGAGGGCCCAAAGAGCCGCATGCAGCTCCGGAGGTTGCTGACCCCTGGTCTAAGAAGACCATCTCTAGCATTGGAGATGGTCCTTGGTGGTCTCTGAGCTTGATTGTTTTCTTTGCAGGCATTTCATTACCCAACTAGGTAATGCCATCAGTGCTCTGTTGGGGATGGTGATGAGTCATTGACAATGGACAGGATGTGCTTGGAAATCTAGATTTACCAGAATTTTTGGAGCTATTCATTATTGCATCCTGACAAAGACTTAATTTGGAGATGGGCCAAATGTCATGTTTGTGACTTTTATGAAACAAGTGTTTGAAGAAAAGAAAAATATCTAGAATTTCCAGACGGGGGTGGGGGGAGAGAAGGAAACCTTACTAGAACAAGTGTTCCGAGTCTTGTATTCAGCTTTCTTCTGGCTTTTCTTTATATTTTCCATCAGAAAGCTTTGTTTACTGGGGCAGGGGAAGTAAGGTTCAAGACTTGTACATTTTCCAATATAGGTCAAAAATGTTGATAATATTTTGAAAAGTGACAGTTCATTATGCTGCATCCCAATTCGACAGGACTGCAAAAATCAAGAGATGTACTGGATCCATCCAGTTAAGCCAGGCGGTTTCTTAACTGTGTGGCTTCATTTTTCTTTGGATGAAAGCACTAAAAGACCCAAATAGTTTTTACCTGCTCTTTTAAGGGGAAAAAAAAATGCAAAGTGAAGTGAACCGATTTGAATAATGCCACTCTTCTTTCTTTCTTTCTTTCTTTCTTTCTTTCTTTCTTTCTTTCTTTCTTTCTTTCATTCATATAATATGCTGGCTTTTTATTACTAGGGAATGGCAGTTGCAGCCCGTTCCCAGGGACAGCACAAGCAGAAAGTATGGGTGAACATCTCTCTTGCTGGAATCAAAATCATGGATGAAAAGACTGGGGTGAGTTCCATGTCCAATTGTGTTTAGAGGCCTACCTGCTTACTGAAACAAGTAAAGGCTAGTTTTCACTCTAAATCAGAGGTCTTCAAACTTGGTAGCTTTAAGACTTAAAGGTGGCTGGAGAATTCTGGGAGTTGAAGTCCATAAGTCTTAAAGCTGCCAAATTTAAAGATCTCTGCTCTAAATCTTTATTACTCTCAAGCACTGTGTCTAAACTAGAGTTGAAGTCCACAAGTCTTAAAGTTGCCAAGGTTGGAGACCCCCCTTGGTCTTAACCAAAGCTGGAGTTCCTTCAATAAAGTGAAATAGCCATGTTAGAATGGAGAAACTAATTATTGCACCTGGGTTAAGTACTGTATATCCTGTTTTTAACTTTAAAAAAATTACCTGCCTGCAAACTCTTGCTGCACTTTGTGAAGCAAGTAAAATTGGGCTAGCTCTGATTTGCAAACAGCAAATGAGGAATTGACATTGAGGCAAAACTCTTCTTAGGTCAAAGGACAAGCAACTACTGTAACATCTTTGATCGCTATCTGACTTCTTGTCCTATATTCCTTGTTCTAAACTGAAACTAAAGTTCTCTTATATCAAATACTTTTGACCCTCATAACAATATCTGCAGTTATGAGCCTGGTGGCGCAGCAGACTAAAGCACTAAAGCACTGTTATTAACATCAAGCTGTCTGCAATTACTGTAAGTTCAAATCTCACCAGACTCAAGGTTGACTCAGCCTTCCATCCTTTCTAAGGTAGGTAAAATGAGGACCCAGATTGTGGGGGCAATAAGCTGACTTTGTATAAATATACAAAAGTATGAAGGCTATTGCTTAACGCATTGTAAGCCGCCTTGAGTCTCCAGAGAAGGGCAGCATATAAATCAAATTTTTTAAAAAAAGTTCTGGTTCTATGATCAGCATATATGACTTATTCAGAAGAACTTAGCTTTCTAGATCTTGGTACTGTTACTTCAAACTACATGTTAGACTATGATGCAGTTTGTTTGCTTTTTGCTTAGTATACTGTATAAACCCAGCCAAGTATGATTTAGTCAGCCACTGTTAAACTAAGGTTAAACACTGACATGTGACTCAGTGTTTTATTTATCAGAGTAAAAAAGTGTTTTGAAGGTATTGAATATTGGCTAAAGTGAGCAAGAGTGGCAGCAGTCTTGATTAGAAAACAGGTTATCCTCTTTAAAGCTATTGCTTAATGCATTGTAAGCCGCCCTGAGTCTCCGGAGAAGGGCGGCATAGAAATCAAATTAAAAGAAAAAAGAGGTATGGACTTCAACTCTCACAATTTCCCAGTCAGACATGCTGCCTGAAGAATTCTGGGAGTTGAAGTCCGTGTCTCTTAAATTGGCGAAGGTTGAGAAACACTGGGTTAAACTTGCAAAGTTGTCAAATTGCTTGTTCTGAGTTCTGATTTCTTTGACAAGATATTATGCTATTCATGGTTATTTCTATGTCACTTGGTTTGATTCTAGGTTATTGAACATGAGCATCCAGTCAACAAAATCTCATTCATTGCTCGAGATGTGACGGACAACCGAGCCTTTGGCTATGTCTGTGGAGGAGAAGGGCAGCACCAGTTCTTTGCCATCAAAACGTCACAACAAGTAAGAGGATAATAATGCAAGAGTAATGATTGGCATAGAGCCGTGATGGCAAACCTATGGCACGTGTGCCACAGATGGCACATATAGCCATATTGGTGGGCATACAAGCTCAGCTCCGCCAGCTGATTTTCGGGCCTTCTGGGCCCACTAGAAGTAGGGAAACAGGCTGTTTACTGCCTCCAGAGGGCCTGGGGGGGTTGGGAAGGCCCATTTTTCTCTCTCCCCAGGCGTCAGAGCCTTTCTAGGAGTCTGGGGAGGGCCCTTCCGAGACTCCTAGAAAGGCTCTGGAGCCTGGGGAGAGAGAAAAACGGGTCTCCTGGGATATCGTGTGCCAGGAGCGGGGGGAGCGGCGGGGATCACATGCACATGCGTGGAGGCAGGGCACATAGAAATATGGCCTTGGGCACGCTCGTGTGCGGAACCCCCACCCCCACCCCCGCTCCTGGCACACGATGGCAAAAAGGTTATCCATCACTGGCGTAGAGGCTACTGTCCCTTGCTGCCAATTGCCAATACAGGAAAGGGAAATGTGATACTTCCCCCAGTCAAAACCATCTCTGGTTTAAAATAAGTTCTGTGACTCAGCTGCAGGTTCTCCCTGAATGTGCTCTATCCATAAACATGTTCTTTGTCTTTGGACAATCATGTTCTGACCTGGGCTCCCTTAAAAAGGGAGGAAGCAGGAATTGGTCCTAGCAAAACCTCTTTGATTTACACAACTATGAATTACTTTCATTCACAGTCAGCAAGGTTTGTCCAAACAGTTTTTCAAAGGAATATTTATCAACACACTTTCTCATTTGGCAAGCTTTCATGTTTTTCCAAACACGAGTAAGACAAAACTTGGCATAGAGTCACGAACGAAACTTTCCACTCTTGAAACTACTGAACGGACGAACAAATCGTTTCCTGCAAAAGCTCCCCGTCCGCTCCTCTTTTGTTTCCTATGGGAGGGGCCAATCACCTCCAAGATGTGGCTTTACTCCCAAGTCGACCCTGCTTTCTGAGTTGTTCTTGTCTTCTGGCAGCTCTGCGCATGCGCACACTGGGAACGGGCTCCAGCTATTCCTCTGCCTCGGTGCTGTCTTATCTCCCTCTCTGCCTCCGACACAGAGCCCTCGTCCAAGCTTTCCCCAGTCCCCAGGACTGGCCCATGTTCCTCCCCAACCTCCTCACTGTCTGACTCTGCTGCCAGCTTTGTGGGCCGCCAGCGGGCCACAACAAATCATTGCTAATGCAATTCCTACGGGATTGATCTATTAATAATAATTTGTGGTCCTACCTATTGCATTCAGAGTGCACATGAGATGCATAATGGAGCAACACTTGGGAAACAAGAGCTGTGCTTCATTCTGGCTCAGAATTATGGCCCAGGTTCCTTATTCCTTAGATCTTCAAGAAAGATGATCCTAGAGAACTGTAGAGTTGATTAATAGCTGAGATACTACACAATTCCTCTTAGTTCTCCAGGCCCAGAGTAATCTTTTCTCCTTGGATGGTGCTTAGCACAATCATTTATATTTCTCGAAACCATATATCTGCCATTTAAAGAACTTGTAATTCAAGCCCTTGAATTGCCTGCTTTTTTAGAAAATGCATCTCACTTGGCTCTCTTTTCTTAGGCTGAACCTCTGGTTGTAGATCTGAAGGATCTCTTCCAAGTAATCTATAACATGAAGAAAAAAGAAGAGGACGATAAGAAGAAGGTAATGCTGCTTCATGGTAGACTTGACAGATTTCAGACTACATTGTAATTGGATACAAAGCTGGAAAATGCTTCAGTTGATTCCCAAATGTTTGCTACATCTTGAACTTCTAACTAAATTATAGGGTTGTATAGTATCTTCAAAGGGCCCCTTTGCTTGGATAAAAGTCTGAGCACGTTGCTTGCGCAGCATAAATGCTGTGGTGCTTTGCTCTTAATTGGTGGCCTGGATGTGGTGCTTCAATTGACAACAGTGGCTTTTGTCAACTGAAGTAGCAAGGGAGGGAAGGAGCTCTGACTCTTCCAGTGCTCTCATTGGCTGCAGAGCCACAAAGCTGCATCTCATTGATTCAGCAGCCTGCTATTCACACTTAGGAAAATGCTTTCCTTTTTCAAAGAATGAATGTTTGTTGCACTGCTGGGCCAATATTGCTGCCAGTCTGGGTGGAGGGGTAATTTGAGAGGCCTCTTTGATTGGAGAGCCCCAGAGTGCCCCTTTGTCCATGTCCAATAGCAACCATAGCTTGCTGCAAGAAAGCACACACAGTACCCAGATGTAGCCTTTAATTTTAAAACAGTTGAAGATAATACTGCTAATATTATATTGGATATACCTTTATACCAGTGGTGAAATCTAAAATTTGTTACTACTGATTCTGTGGGTGTGGCTTGGTGGGGGGGGGAATGTGACTGGGTGGGCGTGGCCATTTTTTTTTTACTTTTAAAACCATTTTTTCTACAACCTCTTCAGCAAAGAGGTTGTAAAAAAATGCTTTCAAAAGGCTCTGACGATCCCAGCTGAGTTGCCTGATTGACAGAGGCTTTTTTCTTTTAAAAACCTCCGCCGATCAGGCAACTCAGCTTGGATCGTCAGAGGCATTTAAAAGGAAAAAAAAGCCTCTGCCGATCAGGCAACTCAGCTGGGATCATCAGAGGCTTTTTTTTAACTTTTAAAAGCATTTTTTCAGCCGAAGAGGTTATAGAAAAAATGCTTTTAATTTTTTTTTAAAAAAGCCTCTGATGATTGTGCGGCTCAGCTGGGCATGGGGAGGGCAGGCAGGGATTTTTGCTACCAGTTCTCCAAACCACCCTCCTCCATCGCTACCGCATCGGGCGATTCGGTCCGAACTGGGAGCATTTCACCCCTGGGTTATACCTAAACACTGTTTAAACAAACAATAATAATCACAAGATAATATAAAATCAGTGCTCATAATGCAGGTTGTCCTAGGACCACAGTTGAGGCCAAGATTTCTATCGTTAAGTGAGACATTTGTTAAGAGAATTTTATCCCATTTTATGGCACAATTGTTAAGTGAATCACTGTAGTTCAGAAGTGGTATTCAGCAGGTTCTGACCAGTTCTGGAGAACCGATAGCGGAAATTTTGAGTAGTTTAGAGAACCGGTAAATACCACCTGTGACTGGCCCTGCCTTCATCTAGTCTCTGCCTCCTGAGTCCCAGCTGATCAGGAGGAAATGGAGATTTTGCAGTAACCTTCCCCTGCCACGCCCACCAAGCCATGCCACGCCCACCAAGCCATACCCACAGAACCGGTAGTAAAAAAATTTGAATCCCACCACTGCTGTAGTTGTTAATTGAGTAACACCATTGTTTAGTGAATCCGGCTTCCCCATTGACTTTGCTTGTCAGAAGGTTGCAAAAGGGGGATTATATGACCCTGGACACTGCAACAGTCATAAATGTGAGTTAATTCCCAAGCGTCCGAATTTTGATCACATGACCATGCTGCAACGATCATAAGTTTGAAAAACTGTCATGAGTCACTTTTTTCAGTGCTGTTGTAACTTCGGTCACTAAATGAACTCTTGTAAATTGAGGACTACCTGTATAATCAACTTGAAACACCTGGATACTGACTGGGGAATTCTGGGTGTTGAAGCCCACATGTTTTAGAGTTGCCAAGTTTGAGAAACACTGAACAACTTTTCTTGAATTTTCCTGATGCAAGTTTTTTTTTCTATTTCAGAATGAAGAGGCCAGTAAAACTGAGGTAAGAAAGACGTGTCTTATGGGCCGAGTTATATATCGGAGATCATAGCAATGGATTTCTTAAACCTGATTTAATTTTGTTTTCTTCCAGAATGGTAATGATGAAGCCACTACTGATCAAGTTGGCAAAATAAAGTTGGTATGTAGAACTTTCTAACTTGAAGAGCAGGTTATTAGTCTTCTGAGTGGTGGTTAAACCAGAATGAGTTGCATTATTGCCGCAAACTTTGACTGACCTGATATAGCTAGTTTGTCTCATAGCTTAATGCAACAACAGCTTGGTTTTTTTCCAGCATTCCTGTGTCTGCTTTTGTCTGGACTTGAGTGATTTATAGATTGAAGTGTGGAATCCTAACTCTTACAAACCTTGTACTTTAGGGTGTCGACCAGATGGATCTATTTGGAGACATGTCTACTCCTCCTGACCTCAACAGCCCCACAGTGAGTAGTAAATGATTACCACCTCCAAAATCAGGAACATTTTGAAAGTCCTCTTCAACGTTCTCCTGTCGTGCCTGGATGATGAAGTGATCCTCTATAGACAGTCCTCTGTTCAAAGGATCTTGATGGAGGGACCTTGAACAAACTGCAGATTGTAGTATTGATCGATGCCAGAGACTGATTATAGTTTTGTATATAAGGATTTATCAGGATCTAAGGAAGAATACCTAGCATAAACTGAGTTCCCAGTTGGCTGGCTTGAGGAATAATGATAACTTCGGTGATAGTACAGAAACACATTGGCAGTCCAGAAAGTTATAATAAATGAGTGTAAAGAAGCTTGGAGGAAGAGATATGGAAACATTTAGCAGAGCTTATTTGAAGAAACTACCTTAATGCATTTGGCTTGATAATTAGCTAGATTTGGAAAGCTCTTAATCAAACACTGCTATGAGCAAATCTTCATGACATCCAACATTGCCTATTCAGGCCTGTTTCGGTACAAGCTTCCTCCTTCTACCACTGTTTCATAATCAGGTATGGATAATCGTGGTCTCCAGTAGGAATGTTTTCACAGGACACAAAGCCAATCCAGTTGTTGAATGTAAAAATGCATCCAGCAACCTAAACTTATGGCTCCTTGTTATAAACTGTGGCTTTTTGGTGACTCAGTCTACTGTATGTATTTGGAAGAGTCATCGTTTCTTGTTAGAATGAATGAGAATTTAAAGTCTGTCTAATTGTTATTTTGATTCTAGCTCATGCTAACTATAAATGATGCCTGCTCTGTATGTTTAACCTATGCTTAAGTCATAGACAAAAAAAATCAAAAACTGTGGTTAAAGAATTCCCGAAACGGTTGATATCATGACTGTTTTTTGTCAGGATGGGGTTGAGGGTTGTCCCCGAACCGTGAACCAGCTCACGAGCAAACACACTAGGACTGAAATAAAACTAGCAGAGGAGTCTTGTATAAAAATATACTTTACTTCAAAATGTTTAAAAAATACTATATCTTTAAAAAGGCACATTAATAACAAAGTCTTATCTTGGTTAAATGAAGCCAGGCCATCTCCCTAAATTCCTCTCCACAATACCGAAACAGTCCATAAGAAAAAAACTAACATGACATTAAACAGCTTCGGTGTTGATACATCATCGAGGTGGTAGAAGGGCAGCAGCGTAGGCTTCACAGCTAAAAGTCACCTGTGAAAAACAATTCAATCAGCAAACGTGGCTTGAAGCTCCTGGGAGGGAAAGTGTTCAGCTCTTCCTCCGATCGTAGCTACAACAGCAGCAACAGTTTGAAAACTGTGGTTAAAGAATTCCCGAAACGGTTGATATCATGACTGTTTTTATATATTAAAGAGTTGTGGTGTGCTGTCCAAAGACACTTTTTGTGAGATGGATGGCCCTATAAACGTGATCATTCAATAAATAAAACAGGAGATTAGATGGTTGTACATGCATGTTCCCAGCCTGATTGGTTTGATATGTATTATTTATCCATTCTAAATCCAAGCGAGATTGAACTTCACAGTAGGGCAGTGGTGAAATCTAAAATTTGTTACTACCGGTTTTGTGGGCGTGGCTTGGTGGGGGGGGTAATGTGACTGGGTGGGCGTGGCCAATTTTTTTTTACTTTTAAAACCATTTTTTTACATGTAAAACCATGTAAAAAAATGCTTTCAAAAGGCTCTGACGATCCCAGCTGAGTTGCCTGATTGTCAGAGGGTTTTTAAAAAACCCTCTGCTGATCAGGCAACTCAGCTGGGATCGTCAGAGCTTGAATCGTCAGAGGCATTTAAAAGAAGAAAAAAAGGCTCTGATGATCACGCAGCTCAGCTGGGCATGGGGGGCAGGGGCAGGGATTTTTGCTACCGGTTCTCCGAAGTGCCCGCCGCCATCGCTACCTACTCGCCCAAGCCGGTCCAAACCGGAAGCATTTCACCCCTGCAGTAGGGTGATAGTTAAAAAGAAAAAGGAGAGCAGCAAAAATGCCTTTCTGTCATAATCGCGCATCTTCTATTTTAAAAAAAATCCATTTCAAATCTGCTTGCTTACCATTTTTTTTTTTTAATCAAGAGCTCATGAGACTACTTGCCCACATGCTAATCTGTCTTCTTTCCCAAACCTAACAGGAGGAGGAAAAAGAGATCCTGTTAGTGGATTTAAACTCTGAGATTGAAGCCCCTCCAACTTCTCTCAAAGGGGAGGACCTTTTCTTGAACGACATCACGCCTTCCTTGCCATTGCCAAAGCTACAGCCGCCTTTCTTGCCTGAAAACGCTTTTTCTGCAAACCTCAGCTTCTTTCCTACCCCCAGTCCTGACCCTTTCCGTGACGATCCTTTCACGCAAGCTGACCAATTGGCACCCCCTTCCCTTGATTCTTCTTTAAAACCTTCCAGTCAGAAGATGGAGAACAGTTGTGTGAACGGGGACATAGACTACTTTGGGAAAGAGTTTGATCAGATTTCCAACCGGACTAGCAAGCAAGAAATGCCGGCCAGCCAATGGCTGCTTGAAAGTAAATCGGCACATTTAGCGGTGAAGACATCCGACGGGGTGCCGGAGACAGAACAGAACGGTTTCGTGGCCAAATCCCCCTTGAGTGTCTTTGCAGAAAGCTCTCCCAAAGGAACACCTGTGCAGAATGGGTTACGGCTAGACTCTGATAGCAGCCACCTGTCAATGCCACAAGACTCCATCACGATTAGCCCACCTCCACAAAGTACAAAGCCAGGAAGAGGAAGGAGGACTGTTCAGGTGAACGTTGGGGCATGCACAAAGTGGTAATATGCATGTTTTCTACTTGGAGTAGGTGAAGGAAACTCTTTTCCTCTCTTCCTGAAAGCTCTGCTGGGCAAGAAAGCTTTCCTTACCTTCACTCTATAAATGCTGCAACTGCTGTGAACTTAAATTTTTTTCTCTGTAGAATCATCCTTTCCTAACCTTGCTTTCTTTCTCCTAACGCTGCCATATATTTATATCTTGGGTAAGTAAGACACTTGGAACTAGTTATATTTGCATGCAGTTATATTGTTTTGGAAGAGACACCGTGTTTTCCTTGTGTAGTTCAAGTAGCGGAATCTGGTATGGGATGATCCACCATGTATAGTAGACCTCAAAGGTCTGGAAGTGAGGTCAAGGAGATACATAAACAACCTTGGTTTTCTCATATAAACTGAAACTAGTGCAGGATAACCCTCCTTCAAGCCACACCTTGTCTTAATTACAAGAACAATAGATCCCAGTGCTAATGGTACTAATGAGAACCATCTCAACTATAGGCTTGGACTGAAAGATTTTTCAGGAATGTAGCATTTTCATTTTTTAAAGAAGGCATGTATGGGGAGGGCAGGTGATTAAAATTAGGAGTGTACACAAGAGTGGGTTGAATACCATCCATTCAGGCTGCTTTAGACAGGTACATGAATTGGAGGTACAAGGAGTAGAATCTTCAAAATCAAAACTGATTTACCTCACACCTGATTTTTCTCTGCCCAATAAAAAGCAGAGATGAGAAACAATAAACCAAAGTTAAAATAAATGAAAACCTGTTTGCAGAGGAAGTGCAGAATGACCTTCCCTGAATCTGAATATTTGCTTATACCCTCTGCGTGTACCTATCTGAAATTAAGTATAATTGATCTTTGAAGAAGGAATAGTTGTATGTGAAAACGTATCCCAATCTTTCTTTATTTGGAAAGATAGGTTGGTTGGTTGGTTGATTGACTGATTGACAGACTGAAGTTATCTTTTTTCCCCATTCTAATGATTATGCTTTGGATTTTGGACTTAGAGCCAGATCACTCAGGGTATGCCCCCGGTTAAAAGCCTATCTTAAAAATGTAAGTTTTAGCATTACACTGAGTGATAAAAAGGCTTGTTGTCCATTAGGCTTCTGTTGGATTTGGGCAGACAAAACATACCTTATTGTGCAACTGATGAGTTGTCTTAAATTGGCCAAAGGTGCTGCTGGGGTTTATTTCCAGTAGAAGAAAATGTATGAATATGTAACTCTGGTTTGAACTATGGACTTCTAAGTGCTCTCTGAACTTGGTTGTTTGCTTGTATACATTTCATTACCCAACTAGGAAATGTCATCAGTGTGAGTAAATGTGAGGTTTGTTATCTGTTTATAATAGCTTCCCCTGCCAATTTTGGTGAGAGATTAGTTTCCTCCTTGGTGGTTCTTTGATTAGAAAATTATTTTCTGCTTAATTGTATCTCTGGCATTGATCACTGCTTATCTGAGTGTTAGCTACTGGAAGAAATGTGTTCTAGGTTGTTTGTTTCCTTCTTGGATTTTTTTTACTCTCTGTTTTGAACTGTATGTAGTTTATCTCCATTTGTCTACTGATGATTGATTTGTCTGAATGACAAGCCTACAAGAATTCCCTAGTATTTTTCAACTGGGCTTGATCTAAAGCATGGGTATCCATCCTTTTGGCTTGCCTGGATCCCACTGAATGAAGAGGAATTGTTTTGGGGCACATACCAAGTATATAATATAGTAAATGTATATAAATCACATAATAATGTTAAAAGTTTGTGAACCTGTGGGGCTACATTATTAGCTGTCCATGGATTGGACAGGCCTGATCAAAAGTGTAACAGTTTGCCAGATGAGACTTTGGTTGAAACTGTCCACGTGTTCTGAAATGAAGGCATTTTTCATTAAGAGGTTTATTTATTTTTTATTAAATGTGGAAAGCATCTTTCCTATAAGAGCTGAGCACATGCTACCTGAGAGGTAGATTGGGCTTAGACCAGGGGTCTCCAACCTTGGCCACTTTAAGACTTGTGGATTTCAACTCCCAGAGTTCCTCAGCCAGCTTAACTTTGCTGGCTGAGGAACTCTAGGAGCTGAAGTCCACAAGTCTTAAAGTGGCCAACATTGGAGACCCCTGGCTTAGACCGACTTGGCCATGAGTTTCTATGGTTGATTGGATCATAGTTTCACTCGGTTTCCCAAATCCTAGTCCCCATGCTTTTGCTTACTATCTTACACTGATCAATTATCATTTTATTGCAAACTGTTTTGACAGTTCCAGGCATTGGACATGCAATGGCATTAACGCTAGCATTTAACTAATTCTAATCGTTTCTTCAGGAACTAATTCATTTCTTCAGGAATATATTTAAAGCATGCTTCTGAGTTTATATGCAGAAGTAATTATGTTTCCCCAGAACATCACTCTTTTGGGGCTGTTTATTCAGTTTGTGTGTAGCCCAGTGCTTCTGCGTTAGAGAGACTGCTTGTCAAAAGGACACACAATTTGTTCTTCGCAACAAAATGCTCTTGGCAGTTGATGTGGCACCATCATTTACAGGAAGTTGCACATGAAAGCTCTGCAGGCCACAACTACAACTGTAAACATTGCAAAGTCTTCCTTTGTTGTTTTTTCAGATTTTTTAAAGAAAAGATTGTACCCAGTTAAAGGAGAATAGGCTTGTAATTAATGTTTTGCATCTCTATACCTGATGTTTCTGAAGCATGCCACCCTGTTTAATATGAACTGAAATTATTTGCCTGGGAATTAATCACTCACATCTTACCTTTCTAGCTTGGTTTTGCGGCTGGAATGTCACAATGTCGCTGAGCAGATTGGGGTGCTGGTAGCATAAAGCACGACTGAGGACATTTAACTCCAAATAACAGACGTCTTTCTGTGCAAAAAAAACACGGCCTTTCTAATGAAGGTTCCCTCTGGTTTTTTGTTTTGTTTTTTTTCCTAGAATGCAGCCAGCAACTTGTTTGGTCCTGATATTTTTGCTCCTGGATATTCTGTAACAAGCACTCTGACTACTGCAGGACAGCCTTCCAGTGTACAGACTAACCCACTAGACCTCTTCAAAACCAATCCTCCTACAGCAGCTCCCATACCTGGACTAGGTTGGTAAAGATTGTGAAACACGAACCTAACTTACATATTAGCTGAGTATATTGAATGAATTATGCACATTCTCTTACTCTATGGTCCAGGGTGTTATGCAAACCCATTAAAAAGGGGGTTTGCAGCAGTGGTGGGATTCACACTTTTTTACTACCGGTTCTGTGGGCGTGGTGTGGCTTGGTGGGTGTGACGGAAAGTATACTGTAAAATCTCCATTTCCACCCAACTCCAGGGGAAGGATACAGTAAAATCTCCTTTCCCACCTCATTCCTGGGGGAAGGTTACTGCAAAATCCCCATTCCCTCCCCATCCCACTAAAGTGCTTTACAGCTCTATTCTCCTCTGCAGGGCAACAAAAGAAGACCCAGCAGATGAGCTGGGACTTGGGAGGCAGAGAATAGATGGGGGGCGGGGCCAGTCAAAGGTGGTATTACCGGTTCTCCGAACTACTCAAAATTTCCACTACCGGTTCTCCAGAACTGGTCAGAACCTGCTGAATACTACCTCTGGTTTGCGGGGAAAGCAGTAGATTGGTTAATTGTGGGAAAGTATGTCAAGCAAATCTCAAAGATGCTTTTTTTTTCAAAAGGAAATTGGACTGTTTTTTTTTTTTCCCCCTGAGGAAGAAGTCAGCATTTTGCTTCTCGTCCCAAGAAGCTTCATCGGTTCTGGCAGGATGGTGGGGGCAATGGAAGGATTAGTTCTGAAAGGGTGGGAGACGGGGTTAGAAGGATTATATTTCTTTGCATTCAAAGCACCTGGATGACTGAGAATCTCCACATTTATGTCAAGCAAATCAGTCCTTATAATCATTTTTTGGAAAGGCCTCTGGTAGTGGAGGACACTGTTGGATACAACCCTAAAATGATTAATATGATTTTATTATATTAATTTACTCTTCTTTTATTACTTTTATTGTTTTTATATGAGGTTTTATATTCAGTAAGCCACGTTGAGTCGCCATGTGCTAATAGGCGGCAATATAAATGCAATAAACAAACTACTGTATTTTTCGGAGTATAAGACGCTCCGGACTATAAAACGCACCTACCTTTTTTGGTGAGGAAAATAAGAAAAAGAAATCTGCCTCTGCCTCCCAGCAATTTTGCCTCATTGCAGCAAATAGCAAACAGCCTGCTTTACTTTCATTTTCGTTTTCAGCATAGCTTGATTAGCACAAGGAAAAAAAAATCTGCTCCCAGCAATTTACCTCCTTGCAGCAAGCAGCAGAGGCCCACGCAAAACAGCTCAGAGTCAGGAGGCCAATCCAATCAACTTGTGCTAATTAGGTTGTGCTGAAGCTGAAAAGAGCTGTTTCTTCTTGCTGCTTACTATAAGGAGGTAAATTGCTGGGAGACAGAGGCCAAAGGGTGGGGGCCAGTGGGTGGGCGGGGCTACATTTGGTGTATAAGATGGACCTAAATTTTCACCCCCTTTTAGGGGGGGAAGGTGCGTCTTATACTCTGAAAAATACAGTATACAAAAGCAGCTTGGTCATTTCTGCATCAGCCAAGAAGGCCCACAGAATTTTTTCCTCAGAAGTTTGAATGGCAACAAACTGCAATGTTTACGTGCCTGAGTGCCATTAAACTCCTGAGAGTTTAAACTCCTATTAACTGTTTTTAATTCATTCAGGATTTTGTGGGTTTTTTTGTCCTAACTCTACATACGTTAAGAAGTAACGTATTGACTCCATAACAATTATATACTGTACTTCCAGGCTAGGGGTTGGGAAAAGTAGTGCTAATCTGTGAGGCTACGGTCCCAAATTTAATAAAATGACTTCGAAAGTATTCCAAGTAAAATGATAGTGAATATAATCTGAAAGTAAAACGATACCGCATATTCTGTACTTGGATTTTCAGAATTTTTAAGTCCACAAAACAAAGTCACCAGATTTTCCAGAAAACAATTTACCATGGGTTAATAATTTCCAGCAAACTCTGCTGAGAAAGCCTTCTTGCAAATAGACGGAATAAAAACTGAGGGAAATCGGATAGAGATAATATAGGGAAGAATATAGTCAACATTTATGAAATCATATTAATATTTTTTTTTTGAGTTGTCCAATGATGAGTTTACTTAAATGAGTTATTTTATTCTTCCCCAGGTGGCCTGCCTACATCAGCATCCCCAACACCAGCGTGGGGTCCCCAGTCTACGGCCTTCGGTCAGCCAACCCCGGTGTTTCCTGGAACTGCTCTGAGCGCTCAGCCAATGAAATTTGCACCATCTCTTGGTTTTGGTGCTCCTCAACAATCACCTGGTTGGGGCCAGCCAGTTCCAGGCCAGACTCCAGCTCCTGATCCCTGGAGTCAATCTGTGTGTGTTTCTCCATCCAATGCATGGGCACAGCCTCCTACTAGTGGGAACCCTTTCCATATCAACATGTTTCCACCTTCTCTGGCATCTCACCCTCCATCTATGTTGTCCTCCATGTCATCTACTAGCCCTCCTCCTCAGTTGCCTCCTAGAACTGCACCACAGAAGGAGTGCAGTGTAAAAAAAGAAAGCGATGCCTTTACTGCTTTGGATCCTCTGGGTGATAAAGAGATAAAAGATGTCAAGGAGATGTTCAAAGACTTCCAGCTGACGAAACCACCCGCTGTGCCTGCCCGGAGAGCAGAGCAGCAGCAACAACCAGGTAACAAAACAGAGGTTCTTCAAGATGTGGCTGACCACGATCTCATTGGTGTCATTGAATAACCTAGTTCTATATCAAACCTCTTTTTGACCATAGATTTACTGAGTGGCCTTGAATAAGCCATTTCTCTTATATTAGCTAAGTGACTGATACAAAAAGTGTGGTATTTGGTAACAACTTAACTTTTCAATTTGAGTAAGTCTGAGATAGTCAGTGCCTCAGTAGAGAACACTAGAACTCTATAACATACCAGTATTCCCAATCTACAGAAACATGTAGAGCTCAATACTCAGAATTCCCCAGTCACTGCTCAGAATTCTGGGAATTGTTGGCTAACAGGTGAGGAAGGGTGTTGTATATGCTGCCTTGGGTCGACAACGAATGTGCTATAACAATAACCAAATAGATTACAGCTTTGAATTGACACCAGGAGATCTGTTAAAGTAAGAAAGAAACATGGCTGCTTTCCTGAGGCAGCACAAGTCTCTCTTCTTCATCCACAAAGCTGCCTTCCATTCTAGAATTCCTGGCTTGCTAAAGGAAAGTCACATTCTTTATTTTACAATACTCTATAACTCAATAAAAATGTTTACCAAAAAAAAAGTCACATTCGTAATCTATCTGGGACTTTTCTCCTTGGCTCTTTATGAAACTAGGCAGAGTTAACAAAAGTTGTGCCACCTAGGTGCAACAGTGGCTGCTAGAGTGCTTTCATCTGTCTGAAAAAAAGCCCTGAAGATTTCCCAGAAATAAAAGTAAAAGTAAATAGTGTTTAGGGAGGAGAAGGGCTAGGAAAATCAATCAGGAATTTTCTCAAAAGCTTATAATAATAAGCCAGTTCTGGGAAATCAAAATGAAAGCTGCAGGGTAATTGTAACAGGCTGTGAGAATAACCTTGGGAGACAGGAGGAAGAGCCAGAGCCAGGGCAATGGTCAGGAAAGTGATATCCCAGCCATAAAAGAACAGGAGTGGAGAAAACGTGTCAGAAGAGACCCTCCCTAGTTCTCTAAGTAGCAAAGACTTATATATTGCTTTTCAATGCTTTATAGAAGAAGGTGATATATATGTGATATATAGCATAAAGTGGTTTATAGAGTCAGCATATTGGCCCCCAACAATCTGACTCCTCATTTTAGCCACCTCGGAAGGATGGAAGGCTGAGTCAACCTTGAGCCTGGTGAGATTTGAATTGCCAAATTGCAGGCAGCCGACAGGCAGTAGAAGTATCCTGCAGTACTGCACTCTAACCACTGTGCCACTGAAGCTCATTAAAGTCAAGCGAGGGAAGAAGTAAATAAAGATAGTGTTAGCACACATTATTTTGGTTTCCTGTCTAGACTAACTTGAAAGGCTGACACTAATACTGTGCATTAAAAGAAAACAACTATGTCCCTGAATCCAATGCTGTTGTGGCCCGTCGGTGGCCTGTGCAGTTAGTAGCTGATTCTGACAGCGAGGAGGCTGGTGTGCTGCGCCAGCAGCCTGTGCAGCTGGCGCTCGAGTCAGACGAGGAGGCTGGAGAAGATGTGCCAGACACAGGGATTCAACCAGGGCCTTCAGAACCTCCAGAAGCTCCCATAAGTGAAGAGGAAGAAGAGGAGGAGCCTCTTCTCGATGCATGGGCGCACAGAGCTGTTAAAAGGCAGGAGTGGCTCCTCAGGAGGAAGTCTCCTCAAGAGTAAGGCTTGGGGTTAATTGGCCACTCCCCTAGCCTATTTAAGGAAGGACAATGACTGATGCAATTTGCAGGAAACAACTTTGTTCATATTCCTTTGTGTCTTGATTCCAGAAATGTTTGATTCAGCTCTTGTTTCTGTCTTGTCAGTTTTCCTGCAAATTGCTTCTGGGCATTCTGCCAACCATAGTAAGATTACAGTTATCTGAAATACTGTGCCTCAGAATTGAGTTATTATTCTTTGGATTCTTGTTGGCTGTTAATGAAGTTAAATTAACAGCCCTTGTTCAGAAAAGACTGATTTAAACTGTTTTGTGTTCGAACAACTACTAATAATGCTCATTAGTAGTCCTTAATTAGTAAACTAAGGTTTGTACAGACTTTGCGTGTGCTGCGTTCTTTGGGGTCCGTAGCTGGGGCAGAACAAATGCTGATTTGTGTTGATTGTATGAAATTTGGGAATCATGCAGGTACAGTATGTAATGTTGGTTGCTTAGTTAACCTTGAGTTTGCAGAAAAAAATTATGTATTGTTCTAGTGGAGGTATCCTCAATTTGGGTGCTGTTTCCTGTGAAGTTCATGTTTGATGCCAAACATGTACTTCTTTGCTACCTACCCTGTTTCCCCCAAAATAAGACATCCCCTGATAATAAGCCCAATCGGGCTTTTGAGCTCATGGCAATAAGACTAAGCGCTTATTTCAGGGTTCAAAAAAATATAAGTCAGGGTCTTATTTTCAGGAAAACACGGTAATAAACTTCCTGGTGAACCTTTTATAATGTAATTTGGATATTTTAGAAAAAGTGTCCTTTTATTCAACATAGGGCCTCCAAAGCCTGGTCTGAGACAAAATGCTGCCCCGCTTATTTCCAAGCCTGCTGAAGACCGCTTTGAAAATCCTTTCAAGATGGATCCTTTCGCTGCTCCCTCACAAGGTTTAGTAAGTATCCGGTCTCCATTTTACATGCAGTGACTGATAACATGGCTTAACTGTGGGCTAAGGGGAAAAAAAACATGAACATAGAAACTTTGTGCTCAAATAAATAGACTCTACTATGGCTTAACTCAGTGGTCCACTTCACACAAATATTAAGACGATGCCTGGATTGCCATAAAAAGTTAAACCACAAAATCCATGTTAGCCTAGTTTTGAATGTTGTGTGAAAAGACCAAAAAAAATATGTTACCTATAGCTACGATCTAGTGCAGGGGTTTGCAACCTTAAACACTCGGACCCATTTCCCACAGAAAATAAAACACCGGGAGCCACAAAACCCTTTCTGTGCCTGACTATTTCTTGAGCGGCCACAAAACTAGCATATGTAGTTGAATTAAACGTTCTGGTTTCTTCTGAAACTTTTCTTTTCTTGGATTTATCCATGGTTGGCCTACAGGGGGTTGAAAAGCTCAATAAATCGTGTGCCGGCAGGTGTTGCACATTGGTGGTTGTGACACATATTTTGAGTGACAGGGAGCCGCAGAGGGATAAAAGAGCCACATGTGGCTCCAGAACTGCGCGTTGGTGACCCCTGATCTAGTGTTTTCTCTCAAAATGAAAGAAAGTGGGCTCCTATAAGCTGTTAAATTGAATAGCAAAGTTGTGGCCTCTAATTGGGAAGAACCAGAATGGGAGGTTCCCAGTAAAGTAGAAAGACTTGAATCTGAATGTTCTTCTTAGTACCTTAAAAACAAAATACTGATTCACAGTGGCGACCCTTTAAGGAGAAAGGAGCTCCTTTCAATGGCCTAAGAGACTTTAAAGTTAATCAAAAGTTGGCCCACCACATTTTTCAAGCCAGATTTAGTTACATAATGGAACATAACATTTCTCTGTGTCAGTTACTCTTGTAGGAGAAAATCCGTAGCAGATGGATGGGTGGAAAAAATAGAAATCATACTTATTTGTTAATATCTAATAAGCTGATAATACTGGAAAAAGCTACAGATACTTTTAATGAGAAATGTTTCAGGAAAGGCTTCTTGGTTCTTTTTTTCCTAAAATGATAATTTTAGATATGTGAATAATTCTCAAGCTGCCCTTGATCCAATAAGTTAGCTAATATGTTAGGTGTATTCAACTGGGCTAGATGTGGGTAGACTATACAGATACAGTAAACTGAACATGTTTTGGGCCTGAAGAAATCAAGCTACTGCAGCAAATATTTTGAAGTCCTCCGTGTCCTGCAGTTTTTCAAGGTGTAAACTGGACTGTATTGCTTGTCTTTCATCTTTGTAAGAAATCTACATCTCGATTTTGTAACATGTTGTTATTATACTTAGTTTTCCCCTGAGAAGTATATGCTTGTAACATTAGCTGCTAGAAAAGTAGTGCTTAGTTTTGCTTCTGTGGGTCGAAAAATTCTAAAAATATAGGAGCGTTCATGTACCTTTGGCTTGGAAAAAAGTTTGTCTGCAAAAATATCTTCAAATCATGGTGAAAGTTTTCTTTTTCCTTGTCTCCAGATTACAGCTCAACAACAGCAATTGTCTTCAGTTCCTTGTAATGATCCTTTTGGAAATCCATTTGCATAAATTAGGTTGGTAAGTGAGAGTTAATGTGGTTATTACTATTTAGCATATAATTAGAACATGACAGAAGAGAAGTAAATGTATGCACATAATCCACATAATTATACAAAACATCTATGGGGGAAAAGGCAGTGGCCTCATAATGGGATGTCCAATTCAGATATCCAGGCTCTGGCATTGCTTCGTGCAGAGCTTCTAGGAAACCAAAGAATGCACATCCTGGGCAATCTTGCACAATGTGGTTAATTGTTTGTGTATCAGCACCACAATCGCTACAAGGGCAATCTTTCCATTCCCACTGATACAATGAAGAGGCACTTCTTCCAATATCATACTTAATTCTGTTCAATTTCATCCAGACAGAGGGAGGCAGGCTTGGTAGAGGGATCACTAATGGTCAGGCCACAAGAAGGTATCTTGGACCATTCCTCTCTCCAGGCATTCTCGAGGTTAAATTGGGTAGATGTTAAATGAATAGCGGTTTATTATGCTGGCCTATTTAAATCTTGTGGTGGGCGGTGCATTGTCCTGGGGAATAGGAAAGGCCGTGTTATTCAGCATCCTTGACTTCAGCCAACCAAGATCTTGTTGTCGTCTTATGTGGAGAGGTATGATATTGCTAAGTACTGGTAACCAGTGCACAGGAGCGGGATACAATGTGCCAGAGATGATAAGCATTGTCCGGTGGAATTGGCTATAGGCCATTTGGGTGTGGGCGCTGTTATTTTATTTTTATTTTTATTTTTTTTATTAGTCATATTTCTATGCCGTCCACTCTCCGAGGACTCTGGGTGGCTTACACCAAAGACAGTGTACTAAATAGCATATTGCCCCCAACAATCTGGGTCCTCATTTTACCCACCTCAGAAGGATGGAAGGCTGAGTCAACCTTCAGCCGGTGAGATTTGATCCACTAATCTGCTGAACTAGCAGTCAGCTGAAGTAGCTGCAGTACTGCACTCTAACCACTGCACCACCTCGGCTCTTTGCCCACATGTGGGCAAAAAATTCAGCTCTGGAATAAACCAAAGCCAGGGCTGTTGCTCTAGTACAGTGGTGGTGAACCTATGGCACACATGCCAGAGATAGCACGTAGAGCCCTCTCTGTGGGCACACATGAAACAGCTCTGTTTCGGGTCTCTGCCACGCATGCGATCATGCCTCTGGCTGGCCAGCTGCTCTTTGGGTCTCTGCCATGCATGCGTGGGGTGTGTGTGCATGCGCTGGGGGTGCACCCGCATGTGCCCACATCTTGCAGTTTGGACATGCGCGCGTACACTTTGCCATCACTGTTCTAGGGTGTTGGCATCAGCATGCCAAGGTATCCAGCTTTAATGTACTTTATTGTATTTTATTAATGCATTTAATTTAAATTGATTTAATTTATTTAATTTACTTAATGTGGTGGCAATCCTATTTAACTTCGCTTTTGAAAAACCCATCTGAACTCAACTGAACAGTCAGCAATGTTTTAAGGCCGGATATATCAACATGGGCTTTTGACTGATGGCAGCCGGAGCCTCCTTAAATTGAAATAATTAAAAAAAAACCTAAAGTCTTGTGAGAATGTAAGATTCTCTTACATAAGATTTCTAAATTTCAGGGTTCTCCTTTGAAAATGTATGAGATTCTATTTGAGATTTGGCAATTTCACATGACTGCTATATCTTATTTAATTATAAACGTTGCAAGTGTTATTTTGGAATACAGTGGGATAGCCAGACATTCATAGGCATTATATTGTTCGATCCCATTCTAAAGTACTCTGTAGTTAAATAAAACAAAAGAAATACTTGTCTATACATCCAGGTAAACACAAAATTTGTTTCCTACAGCCCACCAAATGTGAAAAGAAAACAAGCGTTATGGAATGCAGCTCTGAGATGCTCACGGTCCATCTCATTTCTCTTCACCACAAGTGGGTGTTATTGGCAAAACTATAACTGGATTGTTGGGTCAAACAGATGCAAGGAACAACTGGACACTGAGCTTACTGTCTTCGGTCTGCATTATCTGCCTCATTCTTCAACTTTTGGATCATTCAAGTTAAGACCTTAGAACTTCTTAAACCAAGGAAGCAATTTGCTTGAGACCAAACTGGAACTGGTGATAATTTTTAGCCCGTGTGGATGGAAGAAAACACTCTATGGTGTCTCTTATTCCCTCACTTTCCGTTTTCATCAATGCTTAGAAGCACTAAAAGTGAAAAATGAAAGAGAAATTAATGGTTCTTTATGGAGAAAGACACACAGATTTGTACTCACTTCTGCACAAGGAAAGACCATGATATCAGCAGCACTGAGTTGCCAAGAACATAAAATAAAATAGTCAAGTGCTATTGTAGAGTTTTCCTACCAATATTATTACAATTTTTTTTTTAAAAAAAACCTTCCAGCACTCTATTTACCGCCCACCCAAATATCAAGGTGAAAGAATATTTAAATTATGAAATGGGCAAATATTGTATTACTTCTAACTGGTGAGTTCTAAAAATGCAGTTGCTAGCTTTAAATTATGCAAATTTGAAACATCTTTGATGGTATCTTGTCCAGGATATCAAATGCTGTTTTCCTAGAACATATTTTTGTTATGGATTGGTCTCTGGTAAGATTCTCATTTTTGGAATCGGTGCTGGAAAAAAAAGAGTAGCTACAAAAATGGATAAGTGGGTTTTAAGATAAGTTATTAAACTGGAGAGCAATTGTACTTTTAACAACTAGTCTGAACAAAATGATATTCATGTCTATTAATTATGATAAGGCTAGAGGCTGATAATTCACTCTTTAAATAATAAGTTTAATAATAAGTTGGACAAAGCTATTGTTAACAGCCAGATGTCTCTCCAATACAGCAGTTACCAATATAAACTTGAAATAGTATCCATGTTTAAATGTTTAGGTGAACGCAACATGGTGATCTACTTCCTAAAAAATACCAAGCCTCCAGTGATCCGTTCAGCTCTGTATAATACTCTATTGCACATTCCTGTAATACAAAGCTCTCTATGTATGTGTTTGTCTCAGACTGAAAATACAGAAACTTCTTCTGGACTGTGTTACACTGTAAAAAGTACTCGGGTGTTATGGCAATTAAATGTAACTTCATTTCAAATTGGTATCAGAGGAAATGTTTTGATGATTAAATATTTTCTTTACTTGTGTATGGAAGAATGTCTGCCTGGTGGATGAATTTCAGTTTAGTGATCAGATGAACTCCTATTAAGCAGAGCAATTGAATGAAACCGGGATTTTTAATTTTTCTAAAATGTAAGAAGCCACTGAATGCCAACGGATGGTGCTATTGATCCAGTGAGTTGGTATGTTGGTAGATTATGAATTTACAGTACAAAATAACCAAAGAGTTGAAAATGAGGGTATCCGCTCTTGAGAGTTTATAGCTGTTGATTCTGTTCTTTGACCAACTAAGCATCTAAGTAGACTCTTAGATACCACTTAGCAATAGCACTTAGATTTACATATATGTATATACTGCTTTATAGCTCTCTCTAAGCAGTTTACAGAGTCAGCATATTGCCCCCAACAATCTGGGTCCTCATTTTACCGACCTCGGAAGGATGGAAGGCTGAGTCAACCTTGAGCCTGGTGAGATTCGAACTGCCAAATGGCAGGCAGTAGAAGTAGTCTGGACTACTGCACTTTAACTACTGTGCCACCACAGTTCTTGATGTAGTAATATGGCTTTTTTAATAGAAAGGTTTCTTCACCTTATATGCTAGCATCAGTGTAGAAGCCCATTGTAATGGAATGTGCACCTGCCAGCAGCAGAAGGGGAGGATTTGGTCAACTTGGAGCAAGAGACCCAGTTCAAGACACTGCATAGTCCTGAGCTGGATGGGAGAGAGAGGATGAGGTTGGCATATCTCATCACATTCATGGACCAAATAAATCAATTTGGACATAATAGTATCTAAATTTATATACCATCCTATTGTGCTTTACAACACACTGCATGGCTTACAGTGTCAGCATTATTTTCATGTTGTCCCCAACAATCCTGGTCCACATTTTACTGACCTCAAGAGGATGAAAGGCTGAGTCAACCTCGAGCTGCCTTAGGATTGAACTCCAGGCTGTGGGCAGAGTTTGTCTGCAATAGTGCACTTAACCACTGCACTACCAAGGCACTAAAAATAGATAGGCAAACTTGACCAATCATCAATAGTGTTTCACTCTCCTTTGATAATCCATAGTATGCATTGGTAGTGGGCTAGCTTCCATAAAAAAAAGTCTGAACTGCTAAGGTATATATATCCATAGCTAACATTGTGGTTATAGCTACAGTAGGTCTTGAACTAGAAAGGTTTTTTTAAAAAAAGGTAGGAAAATTCTATGGAATATCCATACAGATATGTATGGAATTAAGGTTAATAAGGATTTTGCAATGGCTGTTTGTAGATTATATTCAACTGGGCAACCATGGAATATAAATAAGAAAGACTCAGTAATGCAGGAGAGAGGGGAACAGCAGAGCACAACTGAAAGCTGAATTTATACAGAGAAAAAAAAATCAGTGGGATTATTTTTGCTATTGGTTCAGATGACCCAGAAAAAAACACATGGGCAAGGTGTACACATACTACAATTGGCAAATAAAGGTAGGAACAAAATGCCTTGTTTCCAAACCACAATTGGTAGATCATCTTCCTATTAAAACAAAGGCTGTGATAAGAAATGAAATGGGATGATAATATACTGAGCATTCTAAGGATGCTCTGAGACCCAAATAATGCAGCAGCAATAAGAATCTGGACACTCTTTGAGTTCCTTAAGTGAGTTAAAAACAAAAGTGATGGACTGGGTTGTAGAACTGAGAGCTCAGGTGAGCTAACTTAACTGGTACACTGGTTAACAATTGTGTCATATTTTGGACAGTTTGGTGTAGTGGTTAAAGACAGGCTAGAACCAAGGGGCTCTGGGTGAGTCTGGCTTGGGCATGAAGCCAGCTGGGTTTGAGACAGTCACTCTTTCTCAGCCATGGAGGGAGGCGGGTGAAAAAATACTTCTAAAAAATCTTGCCAAGAAAACTGCAAGAGTCAAAAACTGACCTGAAGGTGCGCGTGCACACACGCGCGCGCACACACACACACACACACACACACACAAGGCCACTGAGTGAGTTCATCCGTTGCCATGAAATGAGATATCATTGGTTTGCTGATGTTACCCAATTGTACATTTCTGCCCCTGGTGAATTAAGTGATGCCATGAATATTTTACCCTCTGCCTGAAAGATGTGAGGATCTAGATGGGAAAAAGCAAGGTTCAGCTGAACCCTGGCAAGATTGTGTGGCTTTGGGGCCTGCCACTTCTAGGACTGTGCCATCCGTGATATTGGATGGCATTGCATTGTCCCAGGCAAACCCAATGCACAATTTGGTTTTCTTTTTGGACTCACAACTGTTGCTCAAAAGGCAAGTGGCAGTTGTGGCTAGGAAGGCCTATGCACAGCTTCGTATTGTGTGCCAATCACACCCACATGGGGGAGAGGGGCTCCATTCACAGTCACACCCTAGTTCACCTTTCAAATGGTTATTGTAATGTGTTCTTTATGGGCCTGCCCTTGAAGAGTATTTGGAAACTTCAGCTGATGCAGAGTGCAGTGGTGCGGGCAATAATGTGTGCGTAGAGAACACAGTACTTCTCTTCCATGAGCTGCATTATCTACAGGTCCAATTAAAGGTGCTGGTTTTAACCTTTAAATCTCTTTTTATTTTATATTTATTTATGCATCCAATTTAGAAACCGCTCATCTCATTCACAGAGCCCGGTCATCTGAGGGACTGCCTCTCCCTGATCAGAATAATTTCAGACTTAATACTTCCAGGCATGCAAGATTAGTATTACAAATTTAGTAATTAGTAATTACTACTTTTAGTAATGCTAATGTATTAATACTTAATACACTCACACTTGTAAGATTCTATTAATATAACCTTACGATAAAATAGAATTAACTCATCTGCTCTTGTTTCCTGTCCAGTCTATTTGGTAGGGCTGAGATCAATCTTACAAAGTCTGAAAGTAATTTTCTCTCACCATCCTCTTTGCACCTCAATACCTAGGAAGGGTCGCTTCTGAGCCTTTTGCTCTGCCCACATTCCTGGAGTGAGCTTAGCCACCCCTCATCAGACTCTTCCTTTGGTTGAGTCTCATTGCCCTGTCTCCCAAGGTCATTCCCACACACTATTTTTTGTTGTTATTAGTTGCGAAGTCGTGTCCAACCCATCATGACCCCATGGACAATGTTCCTCCAGGCCTTCCTGTCCTCGACTATCCTCTGGAATCCATTTAAGCTCACGCCTACTGCTTCAGTGACTCCATCTAGCCACCTCATTCTCTGTCGTCCCTTTCTTCTTTTGCCTTCAATCTTTCCCAGCATTCTCGAGTGAGTCCTTCCTTCTCATTAGGTGGCCAAAGTACTTGAGTTTCATCTTCAGGATCTGGCCTTCTAAAGAGCAATCAGAGTTGATTTCCTCTAGGACTGACTGGTTTGATGGCCTTGCAGTCCAAGGGACTCGCAGGAGTGTTCTCCAGCACCATAGTTTTATTACCTCTGCTTTAACCGAGAGTGCCCCAAACTGCAGGTTGGATGAACATGCATTCAAAGTGTGTTCTCAGTGCTCACTCATATCTTTCTATATATTACTACAAATCCTAGCATTCTTCAGGATTAGCCATGTTGCCTAGATCTGTTGGGAATTGCAGTTCAACAATATCTACAGAATCTACATCCTGCTTACCTGTTAATGTTATCACCTTCTCAACTACAATTGTTAATAAAACTGCAAGGCTATAATGAGGGATTTTTTTTTCTTTCTCAATATAATAGAAAGTTGATTTAGACTTGATTCCCCTTAAACTTGGCAGCTGAAAATGAAAGTGCAAATATAAAAAGAAACTACTAGCAAATATTTAATTTCTTTTATCAGGCATGGGTTTCTAAAGAATTAAAAAGTCCCTCTCCATGGGATAATCTCTTAAGTAAACAGTGTGACTTAATTGCAAATAGCAAGAGCTTGGCTTCCCGTATTTTCATCAAGCCTTACATGAAAGCAAAACTTCAGCTTTATCACGAAGTACTATTTTGCAACTTTTATACAGGTTACAATATAGCAAATAAAATTAGATGAGCCAAAAAGCTTATTGAACAGCTACTCACTTTAAAGGGAAAAAAAACTGTTCTTACTAAATCTTCAACTTCGTAAAAGCTATCTGTTCATGACTATTATATCATACTATTTCCATTAAATTAAATATTGAATTAGTTAATGGAATGGATTGCCCCAGTTTGGAGTCTAGGGTAGGACAATGAGAAATGAAATTTGCAAATATCCTCAGTTTAAAAAAGAGGCCCTGAAAATAGACACACTTGCTTACTTAAAATGCGTGTGTGCGTGCATGCACTCACACACACACACACACACACACACACACACACACACACACTTTCCCAAGTGTCAAAGTCATGATCAGGTGCCTAGTCAATTGGCTCTTTTGGACGCAGAGACAATAAGCGTACCAGTAAATAAAGGATTTAAATCTTTATTAAGCCTTTATTATTAGCTCAAGCAAATAAGATTTTGAAGCACAATATAGAAAGATATACCAAGCAAAATGATTCCCAAATCTCTTACAAGCTGGCAGGAGCTCCCTAATAGAAGAAATACTCTTGAGGGTAGTCTGTTTCCACACTACCCAATGATGGGTTCTGTGCAGAAGCTGCCCGCAAACAACCCCAAAGTTTTTATCAAAACCTGACATCATAACTTCATGACCCTGGTGTGGTCATGAAACAGAAAGACCTATAGAACATGGCTCTGGAATGGGAATTAGAAGTCTGAGATTTTCACAATAAAAAAAGTTCTGTCGCTACATAAAGATTCCTACTTCATCTTTATGCTCCTTGATACAAGAATTTAAAAAAAATTAGGTTAGCCCAGAATATGCTCTAAAACTCTAGACCAGGGGTGTCAAACTCAAGGCCTGGGGGCCGAATACAGCCCGTGGGGTGGGGCCACCCTAGAAACAGCAAAGGACCAGCCTGTGGTGCCTCTGCCAGTGAAAATGGAGCTCACAAGGGCCGCATGCAGT